ATGTAAAGGAGGAGCAGAGAGAGTAGGAATGAGAAAGGCAGAGGCACAGTCAGGAGGGATGCGATACTGAGAGTGGTCACTGGGGACAGCTTCAGCACCAATGCTGTGTCCAGACTCAAGGGTTTTTTCGAAAAAAGTAGCCTTTTTTCGAAAAAACTTCACTTGTGTCTAGACTACAGCCACGTTCTTTTGAAATTAAATCGAAAGAACGCGGCTTTTCTTTCGACGGCGGTAAACCTAATTCCACGAGGAAGAACGCCTTTTTTTGAAAGTGCTCTTTCGAAAAAAGGCGTTCTTGAATGCAAACAGGGCTTTTTCAAAAGAGAGCATCCAGACTCACTCGCTGCTTTCTTTCGAAAAAGCGGCTTGCTTTTTTGAAAGTTCCGCGTGCAGTCTAGACGCTCTTTTTCGAAAGAGGCTTTTTCGAATGTATCTTTCGAAAAAGCCTCTTTCGAAAGAGGCTTGCAGTCTAGATGTAGCCCAAGAGAGTGTCCAGCAGGGGCTGGGTCTCTACCATGTTGCCTGCCAGCTTACTGATAAGGAGCATCCTTTTCTCAGACCTGGACCCTAACTCTCCCCCAACCCATGGAGTGCCTGCTTGCCATGGGGGGGGGGGGGGAGAGATGTAGATGAAGGAGCATGGCCCTTCCCCAGACAGCCTGCAGACTGGGGTGAGGGGGTACTGGTGGTAGAGCAGCTGGAGGGGAGAAACCCTGGAGCTTCATTCTCCCCAACGGCCTGAAGGCCATGGGGCGGAGGTGCTGCAGAAAGGGGCAGCCCCCAGTGCCTCAACCTCCCAGGTAGCCTGCATACCATAGAGGGGCTGCTGGAAGGGGCAACAGCCTTCAGACCCTGCTCCCCTCCAGATATCCTGCTAGCCACAGGAAGGGCAGCTGAAGAGGGTGGCAGCCTCCGGAGCCTGGGTCCCCCCAGCCAGCCTGAAGGTCATGGGGGAGGGCAACAGGGGGGAGGCTCACAGGCAGGAGAGTGCTGCTCCAGCCCCCTGAAAGGAGTCACTGCCAGATCAGCTCCACCCTCCCTGCCACAGACAGCCCCAGGAAGCGCCCCCTCCCCACTTCCCAGCCCCCTGCCCTGAGTCCTGCACCTCTCACCTGACTTGACTTCAGCACTCCTCCCTCTGCTTTGAGCCTCATCTCCCAATCCCCTGCCCTAAGCCACTTACACCCTGCCCTTTCTCACACCTGAACTCTCATTCTATCCTTCATTTGAAAAATACAGTCATTGAAATAATGCTTGCATATTTTTCAATTATTTTTCCAAAATAATAAGTTCCTTCACTTGCAGACCCAAGCAATGCCAGGTACATCAACTGGTGGGTAATAACCACGAGCCACTACTCCTTGGCAGCAGAATGGAAAACCATATAGGTTGTGGACACTTTCCCACCCCCACTTAAATGGCCCTTTAAATTATTTCATAATCTGTCCAGTAAATATATAGCTCAAGTACCTGCACAGTAATTATACAGCCCTGGAGCTTGAACTAGCTATATGTGCTTAACGGTTGTGTAGACCTACCCAGAGAGACCTCTCATGTATCACTGAGGCCTAGTCTACATTATGCCCTCAGTTGATCTAAGCTACAGTTCTGTTTTCTCATAGGAACTTGTAGAAGGGTTCTTCATCTCTCTCCTTTACAAAGGATGTATGAGTTCTGATTCTTTTTCTTTCCTCTGAGAATGTGAGCAATTTTTTCTCTTTCCCCAAAGCTGAGGAATCTTTTTCCTGGCCCTACATGGGGGTTTTCTCTTTCTAGCCTTCTCCTGCTGACACCGGATTACCTCAGCCCACTAAGGGCATATCTACGCAGCAATTAAATATCATGGCTGGCCCATGTCAGCTCACTCAGGCTTGAAGGGCTCAGCATATGGGAACATAAAATAGAGGTGCAGACATATGAGCTCTCACTGAAGCCTGGGCTCTGGGATTCTTCCCCATCTCAGGCAAATCACTCCATCTCTCTGTTAACTCCGCACATGTTGTCTGCCTTGTTGGATGAGGTTGCAATGCTTTGGGGCTGGGACTGTCTGTCATGGGGTTGAGCAATGCATAGCACAATAGCACCGAGATCTAATTTGAGACCACTGCAAACTCTAGTAATAAAAAAAAATACTATTACTTGCCCATTTCTAGGGCAAAACAAGGAGTTAGTAAAATCTTTACTGACTTTATAGATCTAATAGAAATTCAGATATGTTCTGCTTTTAATTAGACTCACTCTATGTCTGACCACTTCTGAAATGAAATGCGAATAAATTATTAAAACATGAATAATCTTTACAGTAATTTAACTGGAAAATGAAACTGCAACTAAAGATGGTGCAACAGTTCTGTAGCCATGTGACAATACTTTGATAAATAGACTTCAGTCTAGTACTCTGAATGAACTTTTCCTATTTTAAGTGTTTTCTGAAGTTGAACATCGATAAATCAAGAGGAAGATCTGATTTACATACACTTCAGTGTTGGGAACCATTATAAATGGTAAATACTTCTATTTTCTGCTTCACTCTTTCAGTTTTGTTGCATATTACTTTAGATAGTTTCACAGAACAGCAGTTCTTTAATGTGTCTACCATAAAATATAAATCAACAACAATGGAAAATCTTGCTTTTAAACAGGTGCAGATTATATACCATTTATCAATGTTAGAGGTGCTGTATGCTTATGTGTCTAAAGTGGTAGGAAGTGCAAGTATGTGATTAAATAAGAGCACTTGGAGTCAAGAAATCTAGGGAGAAAGCCTCCAGTGAAATTAATGGGACTCTCAGGGTCAGGATTTCATGCCTGCATTGTAATCCTTATAGGATCATGGACTGGCTGAGTGACTGTGGGCAAGTTTCTTAACTTCTCTGTGCCTCTGCAAAATAAAGACAACAATAATATTTCTGTTCCTCGCAATGATATGCTGAGGCTTAATTCATTAATCTTTGTATTGTGCTTAGAAACCTTTTTTTAAGTGCTGTATAATACCAGATTATTTATATTTTGGATGGGGGAGAATTAGTTAATTTCAAGTAAAATTTAAACAGCCAAAATATAACAGCTATAGCATAGTAGTCATTACAAAATGTAAGAGTAAGTTATTAAACTGGGAATGTTTTGACTAAGTTGTTCTCATCTTGAGTCTTTCAAGTGAATAGATATTGTGTCACTGAACTTCCCTGAAAGTAGAATCAATCTCTCTATTTACAGATGGACTAAGAAAATCATGTTCAGATCTACATCCAAACTGAGTTCAGTCAAGGCCAATGAATGTAGATTTATAGCAAAATCAGTATGGTCCAAATTCACATTCAATTATGATAAAATCTCATAAATAGATGTTGACTCCAAATGGAGAAATCAGACATTCTTGCAAGATTTCAATAATCTTTTATCAAAATTTCAAAAGAGCAAATCTTAAAATATGTCACCTTCCTCAGGACTGGGTATAGTACAAGCCCCGTCCCAAAAATGTAGGTCCAAATTTGATTTTACATCTCAAAATCTTGAATCCTCTCAAAATGTGAAGGCATTTCAAATTCATGATAGAGGCTTTAGCTCCCCCAATACATGATCACATGTACGTGATATCAATTGTTGTAAAACAGGACTTAAAAGAGTTCCTAAGATAAGGGTATGCAACATGGATATTAAATCCATACAGAGAGAAATCCTGGCCTCACTGAACTTTACCCAAAAGAACTTCTCTCCATTTACGAAATGGCAAAAGCTTTGCAAACTCCAGCTTTCTTTCAACATTGGTATGTTTCATGTTTCTCCATCTCATTGAATAACTGATTTAGATTCTTTTTTCCCCAAGATGTAAAATACTCATAAGCAAAAAAAAACCAATAAAAACAAACAAAAAAGACTAAAACCCGATTACTACATAAACAAAAACCATTTCACAGCTCTCATCTGTTCTCAAAGTAACTCATGCCCCATTCTAATGAATCTAGATTTGCACTCAAAATATTAGCTTTCAAATTGGTATGACTGTTTGTTTATTTTGGATTAACTTCAGCATTTAGGTTGAAATTGAGACTGGCCATTGTACTGGTGACGCAGAAGGCAAGGAGCCTGCATCCTCCTTGCACATCTTGTGAAAGGGTGACTGTCGGGAGGCATACCATGCATTCCCCTCCTACTGCGGGGAGGGAGGGTCCTCGCTCAGGGCTATGCCGCCCTTTTGTTCTGGATCACAGGAGGGACGTCTAGGAGGGGACGCTGGAAACTAATGCTTCCGCCCGGCGGTCCTCCCCGCCTTGGGCGTACCTGCTCCTGATCTGGTCCTTCAGACCCATTCACCCCCCTCTGGGGTCACAGTCTACCCCAAATTCCCCTCAAGTGCTCCCTAAACCTGGTCCATGGCTGCTACACCCGATGCAGCTCTGGCCCGTTACAGGAAGATTCCGCCCAATCCTGTGGGAGATAGGGTAGGGGGACCTGGCCCACTCTCACCTCCAGGTCCCAGCCCAGGGCCCTAGGGGTCGGCAGCATCAACCCTTTAAGGCTGGAGAGGGGTTTTGATTTGCAACCCTCCTACCGCG